AAAAGGAATAACTTCGTCAGTCCCAGTTTAAAGCGAACCCAGAGAAGTCTTGAGTTCACAACCTTATATTCAGTCATAAGATCGACCAACCGGGACGACAACAGCACCCCCACTCCCTGGCAGGCGTTCTCGCTTTCCGGGACTCCGGACCATATAGCTAACGATATATTATTTAGATAGATATTAATTAGATAGATTTATTCATAGGCAGTTTGTAATATTTATGGCGTGGTCTTCTTAGTTAAGATCTTTATATACGTTGTGTTTGTTTAGTAACTTGATGTAAACAAAATTTTGATTCCTAAATATAATTTGAAACTTAAACATAAACCTCTTAAAAATCAACAAATATTTGGAAGGGTTGAGATCTCTCAGTCTTATTTTCGTTTAGGAACGTAATATTTATCATTTAAGGCGCTTATTTGGCCTAATTGAGTTTCTAATCAAAGCAACGGGTAAGAAAACAGTCTATTAACTTACATTCAGGACACACGACAGCCTGATGTTCGTCACAAATACTCCTCATACATTTGCTGCATTGTTAGCGCGTGCTACGGTCACGAGCCCTGCTGTAAAAAGCACATCGACCCAAAGGCATATTTTGTTGTAGGGGTTGTTCTGCCAATCTTAGAAGTAGTCTGCCTTTCAGTTTAATACGTCTGGGTACATTTTGTTGGGATATACGACGCTAATTAGAGGGTCTTGCAAGATCAAATTCGACGTCCAAGAGGTATTGACAACGGACCACTTTCATTTGATGGTTATTCATCTGATATATCACCAGACTATTTATGCCCGCCATGTTTACAAAATTGTATAATATCGTGAGAGGCCATCGGTGACTGTTGCGAGAAACGTAGTATTGTCTACACATTTTATCAAAAATGTCGACGCCGTATTTATGTGATTATAAAATGTGATGATTTCAGGTTTTCTAGCACCGCCAGTCGCAGTATCAATTTTGTCTTCATTGTGGAGGGTAGACAATAACAATACTCGCTCCAAATGTCGTCGTATTCATTATTCTCCAGCAGCCATCTTTGTATTTAGTCGCAAAATCTGATCGAGTTACCCGCCATCTAAAAAGTGAACAAACATCTAAAATCCACAAATATCAACAACAAACACTTACAAATTTAATTAACAGTACGATTTGTAATAATACTGCTAGAAATGTGTCATATTTACCTCAATTTCACCACTTGCACACTAAATACTTAATTTCCTCCAATGCTCGCGCGGGCTACAGGCGTAGCCCATTAACTTCAAGGACGATTTTTGCGGTCATCCTTGAACCACGGAAGTCGGCACTCTGCTAGCGGTAGCGGGGGGTAATTCTTGAGGAATACACTAGACGATTGCGCTGTAGTGCGGCAAGTTAAAATGATATACGACAATATTACACGCTGGGTTGCATATGTAGCCCGCGCGTGCACTCTAGTGTTAAGGGACACAGTGGATCCAGATGCAACGATGCAGCAGACTAACTAGCCATTAGAGGATTGGCTCTGTCCACTTCAAGGCCGGAACGCATGATACCAATCCTCTTTGGTAACGTTCATTCACTGGCACGTAGAAACTTCACTAATATATATGCTCAGCTTTGAAAAAATCTAGTTGACTGTAAACAAATTAGGGAGACCCTGCCTGAAATAAATAGTCGTTTAACCAAGTTTCTAATGTTGCTTTATATACATTGTGTTTGTTTAGTAACTTAGTTCTTTTAGGTGGCTTGGAAGAATGAATATTCACTAGAACAATCTAAAGCCACTGGTAGTGCCTTATATTATTTTAAGCTAAAGAAACTCGTTCACGAAGACAGAGCTGGAAAAAGGTTAGAACATTAAATCGCCCCCATTCCTTATCAGGTTTACATCAGTCAATTCCATATTAATTAATCTTTTTCCGCTTGAAAACGGCTCACAATATTTAAATAAAAGTACCCGATACAACGGTTTTGCTCTCCCAATTTTATTTAAATGTGGGGAGACACACCGCTCCTCACACGCCGTGTGCGGTAAGCGCCAACCAGCCAACGCGCTCCACGCGAAGGGGACGTTAAGTTGGGAACTGTACCGTAGTTAACGGTAGTTTAGTTTTAGTTTAGTTTACGACAGGCCGTTTTCCGCAGCTTCACATCTAAGCGCGTATTTTGCATGTGGGCAGGAATAATGTGATTATTCGAATCACGAAATCTCCCCCGAAGAAGTTCAACAGTCCTTTGATGTTGCAAGCAACTTCGGGGAGCGATCCCGGCGTGCCGAGATGTATAGCCCTGTATGTAGCGACCTCTGAACATGTCAGCAACACATGGGCCGCCTTTTCTTCCTCCCCCATGCCATGCACAAGGAGTATCTGTAACACCTTTGGTATATAAATGTATGTTAACACTTGTTACTATCCTGATCTGTGGCTTGTTCAATCTCATTAGAAACTTGGTTAAACGACTATTTATTTCAGGCAGGGTCTCCCTAATTTGTTTACAGTCAACTAGATTTTTTCAAAGCTGAGCGTATAGATTAATGAAGTTTCTACGTACCAGTGAACGAACGTTACCAAAGGGGATTGGTATCATAGGTTCCGTTCCTGAAGTGGACAGAGCATCGCTGCATCTGGATCCACTGTGTCCCTTAATCTAATGCAGAGCCACATATTTGTGCTTACGCACCTCATTTAATCGAAGTTAACGGTAAAAGAGGGCTATGCCCCTTGGTAGTGCGTAAGCACAAACATCGACTGAAGTCGCGCATATCAATGCGTGTTACCGCCATGCAGAATACGGTCAAATCCAGCCACTGTGAATGTACTCGTAAGTTACACGGTTTAGGCAACACATCGAATAATAGTCATACTGGTTATAAAAAAGCCGTATAAAACATCATGGAGGTCAGACAGTCCGCAGCCCTGTAATGATGGGACCCGACTTGGACAAAACTATTTAGTTGTACGTCAAACCAAGACGCAAAGAGCGTCATTGAGAATAGTGACCCGTCAAACAACCATCGCAGAGACGCAATGCTGTAGAACGCAACAAACATCAATACCACTATTGTCAGGCCTACACCATCCCAACGTTCCTCATACAATCACAGAAGACATCACCACCCGCATACCTTCATCGACCAGAATCACTAGATACGTCGAATCAGGCGCAGCACACCTGCAGATCCATCACAAGACGCAATACTAAAAGAGCAATAAGCATCAATACAATTATCATACGGATGGCGCACCCTCACGGCACATCCACATGATCCCTATCGACTTTGGCAACAAAATTGGTATTATTGTTAACTAAAAATAGCACCAACGTATCATAGTAGCACTCTACTAAGACGCCAGTAGCCCTTAGCAGTAAGACATGGAGTATACATACTCAATGCTTGTTACACTTAAAAGTGCTACTAAACACACTCATTATAATGGAAAAAAAGGTTAACACAAAAATAATTTAAAATAATACCTACTACATGCAGCAGGAATACAAAATAGGTTTCATGGAAAACAAAAGCAAAGCTTATCCTTTTTTTTTAAAAAGAAGTGATAAAAGCTACTGCAGACTTATAATAACGAAGGCAACAGATGCATTATCACCTCTGAGGACTAAAATGGAATGCCTCAAATCCTTTAATTAGAAGTACTCTCAATACCCTTCGGACCCGAAAATGGTAAGCACTGCTATTTGACGTCTGGAATAGGATGGAATAATAATAAAAGAATAAGATGGATGGAATCGGGGCGGTATACTCCATATAAATTATTGGCGTGAAGTAGAGGTTTACCTCTGCGTTTCGCTTGCTAAGTGCAGGTAGTTGGACGTCCCATTCCCCCCCCCCCTTAAAATGATAGCGAAATCAAATAAAAAACTACCACCATTGTGCTTTTTACTAGGAGCTTTTTTCTCGTACAACTTCTTTGTGGAACAGTTTACCACTGGCGATTTTTCCGACCGATACGACTTAGGGATCTTCAAGAAAAAAGCTTTCTCCTTTCTTAAAGGCCAGCAACGCACCTGCAATTCCCCTAGTGTTGCGGTTGATCATGGGCGGCGGTAGTCACTTACCATCAGGTAAGCCGCATGTTCGTTTGCCCCCTCTTCTATAAAAAAAATGGTATCTACCCAGATGGATTCTAAGACAGAAATGGAGACCACCTAAAACAAAGTTGTAACTTTTGTTTATAGTTTTGCTTTTCTGACCTGGCTTATGTGACGCCTAATAATAAGAACAATTTTAATGAAGCCGCGTTTATGGCTAAATGTGTTTGAATCTAATAACTTGCGTAGAATGAATACATACTTGCATCTTATTTGTAATTTTATTATTTTTCTTTTAACTATGTATATAAATGTTTAAAGTCTCCGAGAAAACAAAACAATATGAAGTTAATTCAGAGCTTGCTCTATCTCATAATTTTAATAGTATAATATAATAATTAGAAATTTAATAGGAGTTAGTAGGATTAATATTCCGCGGGAGAGCCCGTGTGCGAAAATATGAGGCATTTGATCTTCTTTAAATGTATATGAAGTATTTGGTCTTAATTCTCAAAAGGTATAATTTCTGTAGCTTTCTTTTTTAAAGACGGTTGCTGGCGTCCTTGAGCTACCGCACCGTCTCGTCGTGTCGATTGTTACTCGTCGATAGTTCGCACTCTTTTTCGTAAAAATTAACGCGGAATCCATCGAACTTATTACTATCATTGACTTATACATATGTCATTACTATATGTATATTACTAGATTATTCTGCGATTAAAATTAAATGAAACGATACAAAAATGATATATTATGAATATTTACTAAAATAAATATGAAACGAGATTTAATAAATTATAAATAAATTTATAAAGAAAAATATTATCTTTGTGTGTAAATTAATAATTGAAAAAAATATCAGAATAATATAAAATACAAGTTAGGTACGGAAGTATAATCAACATAGTTTAGTAATATTGATATAAGTATTATTGTTGCAAATATTCGCGTCATTTGCCTACAGCAGGTCTAAGAGGTAGGCATACCGGTAATACTCGTAATTTTGATGTTATATCACGATTTAACCTTCTTTCGTTCTTCTCATTAAATAATAACATGTTTGTAATATCCTTATAAAAACTAAGGCTCATAAATGCGGAAATGATGACGATCGTACACTCCGTAGAGTAAAGTTGTGTCTTATATTATTTCTTGTAGTGATTACTTCAAAAACTAAACTGAGGTAAAATAAAACTTATATAGTTTATTTTTTGATTGTGTGATTACAAAAATGTTTCGAGTTGCGACGATTTTTGTTTTATTCACATACGTTAACAGTGCATCAATTACACCGGAATCTCAAGCAGAGACTGTGGAATATCAAAATATAAACGATGGTAACGGAAACTATTTCTTCAGGTAACATGTACAAACACTATCAATTCCTAAAATGTTCTTTATTACTAAGTAAAAGATTATTATGAGAACCTGTTTTCTGAAGACTATACCAATTACTTTATATTTTTATAAAACATGTTACAGTTATGTAACATCTAATGGCATAACAAGACAAGAAAGTGGGCATCTTGTTAATGCGGGACAACCCGACGAGCACGTTGACGTGGAAGGTTTTTATTCTTACACGGACTCCGACGGAGTTTTACAAAGAATATCTTATACTGCAGATACCAATGGATATTCTATTCGGACAAAGCCACCTTCTGTAAGTAAATCAGCCAAAAATATTTTACAAAACTAGTAATAGTATGCTTGCAGAAAGTTATACTCGTATGTATTTTAAAAAATCTCATGTCCACACATGGCGAATAATAAAAAACATAGTCCTTTCAAACTTTATTTACGGTAGAAGTAAAATTTAAAAAAAAATAAGTGAGTTAAATAAATATTAATATTTACTTATTACTTTTATTAATTTTATAATCGTCACCATATCATAAATAAATTTATATTATAGCGGTTCCTAACAATCTTACTGGACTAATGTAGTGAAATAATTGTAAATTGAATTTATAAGTGTAGAAAATGTTAATGTTACTTGTGGAGTATCGTCGTGTGGCGAAGGATAAATCTGTAGGCAACTTAAAAATAGTTCGTGGAAAAAAAAGAGTCCTCCAACTTATTTCGCGAAATTGACATTGGATCTTCAGTTCCTGTTGTATTGTTCAGTTCATGTTAACTTTTGACAGAAGGTTTAATGTGCCAGCTGATTGGCACTTGGGCCACCCTAAAGCCGCTTTGGCCTTGGGCCACCCTAAATTATAATGATATAAAATATAATATTGAAAAAATTTAACTTTGTAATTTAAAAAATTCAAAATTCAAAAAATTGTAAGTAAAATTAGTTTTGTCCAAATTTTTTTGGTCAACATATACTTATAATTATTTTACTAAATTAGTCTAGTACGATAGTTATATTACTACATCGTGCTCGTATCATAGTTATATTCCAGTTTATAGCCATATACCCAGGGATATAACTATATCAGGGCTTCAACCATCTTACTGCGATATATACACCAATGCAATGCTGGTGTAAGAGACTCCACTACTCTTTATAGATAAAATAGAGGAAAACTGAAACAAGAGATTGGTAGCAGCATCTTCGTGGTAACTAAAAATAATAAAAAAACGCGTGTATTTTTATAGTAGAAGGGTGACAAACGAGCACACAATTCACCTGAGGGTAAATGGTTGCTGTGACCCATAGATATCTACATCTATCGTCGATTATGAATCAAAATTCAGATTCGTTGTCACCCGTGAGGACTAAGATGGAATGCCTTGTTTCCAGTAAAAAGTTTCCCCGATTCTCTACACTCACCGTACAAAGCACATCAATGTTAAGCTGCTATTTTACGCTGGTTTTCTGAGAGAGCGTGGTCCTTCCCCGGTCCTTCCAAATTGGCCCTGCCAAGTTCACGTGGCTCTACCACGTAAAAACGTGCAACTATATGTCTACTATAGCAAAGATCCCCCCCCCCCAACTCTAATATTCAACAGTGAACTTTGTCAGTCCGTTATAATAATGACAACGATGACGGTATATACATATAGAACAGACATGTAGTATACGTCTGAATAGTGTATTTAACATATATCCACGAAAAACTATAGTCATTCACCGGTTTTTGTATGTGCGAAAAATGACTATAAATTTTACTAAATGTTAGTACCAGAGTTGGCCCCAACTCAGACGTAAAGTTTTATTTTAATTTAAAAAGTTAACGTATCAAAACGTATCAACATGCAATGGCAGCGTACTGGTCTTCTAACTTTTAATTGATACATTTTAGTCATTAATAAAATTTTTAAACTGACGTAATAGAAAATAATGTTCTATAGAATTTTTACCAGATTATTACGATTTACTAAGTAATTTAATTTAGTAAAATAGTCATAACATCCAGTACAGTGTGAAAGTAGTATTTTTCTTTCCTTTATATTGTCTATAATCGTTTACCACAATGTACGAGCATGTTGTATGTAAATTGGCATGTGCAGGGTGACATCATAATTTCTCGCGGTAGGATTTCCCACTTTTACAGAGACACGGGACGTTATTTTGATATCTACCGTGGGCTATCATTATGTGTCCGATTATGCGGTCGGCTAACGCATTTCATTTTGTACATTTCCAAGAAATCTATATTTTTCAAAAAAAAAAAAAGATTTAGCACGTATAAAAATATTTTTCATAATTATCTATAACTTAATATATGTTGTGTATTTTCAGATTAATAGAATTTTACTATCCGGAAATGTCGTCGCTTCATTGCTTGGATGATGAATAGATACAACGCACCGGAAACATTCAAAAGTTGCCTAGGAATAGAAAAATTATGATAATTATTACCACCTTTACAAATGTTACTAAGCTGCAATAACTTGTCAGATGAATATATTATGTCTAATGTATCTTTATAAGTGATCCGTAATTTATGAATTAGAACAAAAATTAATAGAATTTCAAAATTGTATGAAGATGGTATTAAATTAAAATTTTAATTTTAAACATATCGGAAATTATTGTGTTGACAACGCAGAAACAACTCTTCTTTTTGTACCGTTACTATTACCGATACAGCCTATCAAAGTCGTTTGCTGAACATAAGTGCTTCTCCATTGATTTCCCTAAAAAGGTGATTTACCATAGTTGCAACGCCTGGCAGGCAGGTTGGCAATCGCAGATGTTTTTGTTGTATTTAGGAAAATGCTGCTGCCTATCTCCTGGTCTATTTCCCTCTGTTGCCTCTTACGACACCCATGGGGCGATATGGGGTGGTGATTTTTTTGGGGTAGTAAGTTAATATTTTATTAATTTTTTTTTTTAAATTTGTATTTAATTTTTTATATTGAAAAAGAGGAAACAAGCATCTATACTACACCTATAGTCTAGTACAAGTACTATCAAACGTCTCTTGCTAAACATAGGCCTCTACCACAGGGACCTGATTCCGCTCCCCCCTACGTTAAACATGGTAGCGAAATCAAATTAAATACTACCTTAGGAGGATACCAGCACCTCTGGTAATGAAGAATACCTCGCTGTGCATCTACTACCAAGCTACTCTACTACTGAGCGTGTGTGCTCTGCCACACTATCCGTGGATTTCTGCAACATCAGGGGGTTTCACACGAACCTGCTGTCTGCTGCATCTGGATACGGTGAATCTGGCCTTGTTCTTTCTGACCGAAACTCAGGAGTCCTCTCAGGCTGATAATTCGAATCTCTCCTGGCCGTGGTATAAATTGGAAAATTCCTTTGTGCTTCCAGCTGGAGTTTGCGTATACGTCAGAGAGGACATCTGTTCTCGACGTCTCGGCAGTCTTGAAGGTTCAGAATTGTTTATCTTTTGACTACGTGTAAATAGCGACGACCACCCCATATATGTCCTATAGCGGTAATTCCGGAACAAACCGACTCATCGATCACGTCTAAATAGCTACAGATTCCTTGCCAGGTTTCTACAGCAGATCCCATTCGCAGAGATCATGATCCTTTGCGATTTTAACGCCCACACGCCGAATATCTCGATTCACGTTTAACCAATCATGGAGGGAGATCTGTTTATGACTTTGACTTGGCATATGGCCCGACACAACTGGTTAGTTCGCCTACGCGGATTATTGATGCACGTCCTTGTTGAACTTTCTGCTAACCTCTCATCCGGTCGGATATCAGATCTCCGTCGTCACCCCTCTTGGTTTTTCAGACCATTATCTGATCCGTAGTGTGGTGCCACTCACGCTCACTTAGCGGTTGCGTTTTGCATGCTACCTTCGTGTTTGATAGTCGGATTATTGAGACAGAATACAGTCTTTCTTTGCATCTTACTCTTGGGGGTGGGTATGCTTCTTGCTGGACGATCGCAGCACTGTTGCTGACTTTGTCATTGATGTGGTGCTACAGGGAATGGAACTATTTATTCCATCATCTGTGGTACCCATCGGAGGCAGATCTTAGTCTTGCTATGAACGCTCCTGTAAGACTGCGTTCCGCACTAAGCAGGAGTATTCTTAGGCCTAAGTTCGGCGGTTCGAAATGTAAGCACCAGTGCCCTTAAAAGAAGTATAATTCTGCCTCTAGATTCTATAAATGAGTCACTGCTAAGGTAAATTCAGAATGCATCGGCAGAATTGGCGGGAAACTGGTTCGCTTACCTTTGAGAACCCGTGTATTCCGGTCTATCACCAAGAGAACTTTTGCCAGCCATCTCTCCCATCTATGCACAGGGAGGACGACTCACTGTCTCATAACGCAAAGGAGAAAGCCTATCTGTAAGGGTCTCTCTTTGCGTCCAATGCTTCAGATTTGGCGCCAGTTCTGACGCGTCTTTCCCGGTACTCCTACTTCCAAATTTGTGGAAGACAGCTTTCGTGCACCCGATCTCCAAAGAAGACAACCACTCTGATCCGTCCAATTACAGGCCTAGTGCCATCACCTCTTTGTTCTCGATAATAAAGGCGTCCATTATAAACTGTCAGTTAATGAGGTACCTTGAGGGGCACCAGCAGATTAGTGACCGCCAGTACGGTTTCCGACGGAGTCGTTTAGCTGGTGATTTTTTTGTTTACCTAACACTGATGGGCGCAGGTCGTTCAGTCCAAAGAAGAGGCGTTGGCGGTTAGTTTGGACATATCGAAGAACTTCGGTCGAGTTTGGTACAAAGCGCTTCTATCGAAACTTCCATCTTATGGACTTCCCGAGAAATTGTGCCATTGGATCACAAGCGTTCTTGCAAATTGGAACATCAAGGTCGAAGTAGACGGTGCAAGCTCCGATTACAAGCCTATAAATGGTGGTGCTCCAGTGTTGTTTCTGCTGCATACCAATGATTTGTTGCAAGCTTGTGGCATTCATAGATTTGCGGATGACAGCACTTGTGATTTTATATACACCGGCTAATATTTCTCGGTAAAACGTCGCCGAATACCAAAACAAACTAGTATCTGAAGTCGAGTCTTTGCTGAACAATGTCTCGGATTGGGGGTGACTAAATTTAGTACAGTTCAATCCCCAGAATACACAAGTTTGCGCTTTTACTGCTAAAAAGAACCACTTTGTCGTATCTCTTCAGGTTTAAGTTACTTTCCTTGTTGCCTTAGCTAGTATCGAAATTTTCGGCGTCGGCATATCGAATGATGTGCAGTTTTGTGAAAAGCTTGGCGTGCTAATAGAGTGGGACAGTATTTCATGCCGGTACACCGCCTGCAAATTTACAAGGAGAGGTTTCGGCCTCACATTGAATACTGTTAATACCCTCTCTGGGCCGGGACTCCCCAGTGCTAGCTCCTTCCAATTGACCGCATCCAGCGGAGAGGGGCTCAAATCGTCGATGATCGAGTCCTCTCCGATCGGCTCAATCCAATGGTGGTGCGAAGAAATGTTGCATCCCTTTGCATCTTCTATCGAATCTACCACGAGGAGTGCTCTAAGGAATTCTCCAGTAATTCCAGCTGCTACATTTCACAAACGAACCAATACGACTTAGGGACCTTTAACACAAGAGCTTACTCCTGTTTAAAGGACCGGCAAAGCACCTGCGATTCCTCTGCAGTTGTTCATGGACGATGGTAGTCACTTACCATCAGGTGAACCGCATGGTCGTTTGCCCCCTCTTCTATATAAAAAATAGATTGCTTAGACGATTAACGGGCGCATTGACGACTGTTGTTTTTAATTTTCTAGTTTAAAAAAAATAAGGTGACAAACCAGCACACAGTCTAGCTGAGGTTAAGTGTTTGCTGTGGCCCATAGATATCTACATCTATCCTAGGTAACGATTAAAAATGCATATGCGTTATTACCCGTGAGGACTACGTAATGCCCCGTTTCCAGTTAAATGGATCTCCGGTTCTTTACACTCACTATACGAAATGCATAGAGCGAGGTCCTTTCTCGGTTGAGCCGACCGCGAAATGACTCTACCATGTGTAAAAACTGTTATTAGGTAAAGCTGCTGCCCATCTTCTCTATGCCATTTCACTTATCTATTTCGGAAGGAGGTGTTCTACAAGCAAGTAGACGGTGTAGCGATGGGCTCACCTGTATCTCTCATGGTCCCCAACATATTCATGGGGGATTTTCAGGTGAAAGCCCCTTCTTACTGCCCCTGTAAATCCAAAATTCTAGAAGCGGCACGAAGACGACATTTTCACAATTTTACGATCTAAGTAAAAAACTGAATTTTCAGACATTTTAGACAAATAATTCTTTAGCTCTCCTAGATATTTTGGTCATTCGAAATCGTGGTAACATAATTGGTCACAATGTGTATAGGAAAAAGACCCAAACCAACCGATATTAAATGGTAAATCTCACATAAGTTAGTTACCGCGGGAAAATCTTTGTTTTAGAGAGCAGTTGGGATCTCTGGGATCTGTGACAGAAAACATCTGGCAGCTGAGCTTCAGCACGTCAAGCAAGTATTGCAAGACAACATTACAAACTTTGGGTCACGCGCCTACGTCACAGTGACCGAGTGAAGCCAGCCGCAGTCGAGCGTGCTCCTGCTGTACTACCATATGTCAAAGGTGTTACAGACATGGTTGGCTACATCTTGAAGCGAGCTTCCATTAAAACATACTACAAGTCGCTGAAGAAGATTAGTGAAATTTTATTTAAAATTTACAGGCTTCATTGCAAATTTGGTCTATCTTACGTAGAGAAAACAAAAGTCTACAAAAACCCGCGTGAAAGAACATATATTTTTTTATAATAATAGCTGACGTAACGCACCTACGCTCCGGGAAGACAACAAATCCTTACAAAAGAATACCAATTGCTTTCAAGTATGATGCGCGAGGCTATCGAAATTAAAAAAAAATCCAAAATTCAATGGAGAACATGGATGGGAGCTGACATCTGCTTGAAATCCTATAATTAATAAAATTGAATATTTGTTGAATTGAATATTTTCAGATTCAGACACTTTGTTCACTACCTGCATATGTCTTCGCATCATTGGTTGGAAAATGAATAGATACATTGTCTAGGAACATTAAAGAAACTGAAAGGTTATGTAATTTGGAAAAATAAAATAATTAAAAATAATTAAAAATTAAATTTCTGTATTTAATTAAAGATAACGTAAAAATAGTATTGTACCCTTTGTAATTTATATTTAAATATTTTTTAATATATAAGGGTGATAAAGAGTACGCGGTTTACCTAATGCTGACTGATGCAACTTAGGATCAAAATTAATCAAATTCTAATACTTTTGTTTGTAAATTTAATAAGTAATTTAAAGTTAGTAAGACAATCTACACGAAAAATATGAAACGGAATAATTAAAAGAATTGTTCCATTATTGTATTGTGAAAAATATTCTTACTTAGGTTATCAACTTCCTACATTTAGATTTTACCTGAGTCACGTTTCTAATTGTAGAATGTTTAAAAAAATGGATGGATATGATGGATATGGGGAAACATTTTTGCATTCGCATTACGGATCTCTGATAGAAGCGTGTTCCGCATACAATCAACTTTATAGATCATTAATAGCAGCTTGTTTCTCAGAACATGCTACCGGGCACTTGATACTTGACAGGTGCTTTTAAACAAGTTTCTCATTGTCATGCTAAAACAATTCAAATTACTTCCGCCCTACATTTCATCTACTGGAACGAGGCTACCACTCGGTAAACTTTCTATCACATTGGTTGTCGGTTTTTCGAGTTACAGGGCCAGCCGATTGAACGTTAGCTTACTTATCCATTGGGCTATGTCGGTTACTCGGTTTCTACCTCGGATGTCCTCACTTTTTAGGCTATCACGTAGAGAAACCCCAAGCATAGCTATCTACACAGCTCGCTGAGATTGCTCCTTGAGCTTCCTCTAATGGCAAGTAGTAAAGTAACACGTCTCAGATCTAAAAGTCATCACCGGCAACACGCGCTGGTTGTACAACCTAGGTTTGAGGTATCCATGACAAAATGTGTCGTAATCTCTCGAACGCTGCCCAACCGAGTTGAATCCGTCTCTTACAGGAAGTAAATACACCTGTAAATACTGAGTTTATTATAAATATAAAGAAAAATTATGCCAACCTCATTTAACATCTCTCCAAGGTGGACTCTCATGTTTTTGGTAAGGCTCAGTTTTGTCACTGAAGGTCACAAATGAGACCGCTTCCCGCACACTTTAACTTCGTCCGCTTGCGCTCCTCTGCTAACAATACAGTTACTCTTCCTATTTAGTAATGATTATTTCTAATGTAAAGATCTTTTTAGGGCTTCGAAACCCACTTGATGAGCCTTGATATACTCCCATCCCAAACAACTTATTTTGTTTTGCGGAGTACTTCTGCCATATTACTTTGGGTATATTGCAAAGTGGGGTTTCGGTTTGTATCAAATCGAGAGGAAGTTTAAATGCAGAGTGTGTAATTTATCTTCTTCCAGCAGAGTAGTAGCAATTCCAGACGATGCGACCGCTAATTTTAGATTAAATATAGAATATTTAGATTGCTTCGCACTGCGGCCAATAGTAAATTTAATTTAAAAGTTCTCCTGTTCCACCAGGAGCATCCAAAAAAAGATATCACCAACACCTACATCGATACTAGAAAGTATTTTATAATACATATGTCTTTGTTCATTGGTAAGAGAGCCTTCACTACTTAACACCAGTTCTGCTAAGGAATTCACATCGTAACTTGTTTCCTTCAGGTAGTCCCGGTTTCTGTGTAAACCTTTGAGGCTAAGGCAATTCGTACTGCTGTAGGCTTTGTCCTCTTAATGCTAATACAGTTTCTCCTATTGTGACCAGATTTTATTTTAGATTTCATCTGCTAGATGTTCATCTATGATACCAGAAAGTCTTTTCACTTGTCGTTTGTAGTCTTCTGATAGATTATCCCTGTATTTTACTCAAAAACTTAGTGCGTCTGTAATCTGACAGAATGCCAGCAGTTCACGCATTTAAATGGTGACTTGTTGGTGACTCGCATGAAGCTAGGAAGTAGTAGGGAAGAATCCCAATGTTTGTCATCTTCTAGCAAGCCGAGTTTCATGGAAACTAATTTAAAAGTTGGTTGAAGGATACTGTTGACAGTCTTCAAGTCATCGAAGGATGATGTACCCCTAAACTCATACAGAAGTTAGCGAAGATGGTAACACTCTCTGTTATTCGGGTGAACCGTGTACACTCTACCTAGAGCGTGTCCTTTCATTATTACTGGCCATCTACGGATTTTCCTTTTTTCCTTCCTACAAATTTATTTTTATGCCTTACAAAATATGAAGGCACTTCGGCATATAGAAGGGTTTCAGCAAAATTTTGGCATAAATCAAAAAATGCTAACAGTGTCGTTTTTGGTGGGCCATTAACTTTGTCGGCGAGGTTGTCGGAATTAAAATAGACTCGTTGGCCATGTTCAAGGTGGTGAGCTAAATGTATGACTGCGGGAAACATTTCATGTATGGAAAACACAGAATACTATAATACATACATATGTAATAGGTCGGGGGAGTGGGCGGAGCCCACGTAACTACTAAAATGCCACTAACAAGTCAATTCACACGTATAAATGTCAACACGAGATGTGTTTTACTGGGAAAATGCTCCAGACTGCAGTATATCATTTGTCTCATCAGCTATGGCAAGAGATAGGTTTAATTTTATAGCATCCCATTTACATTGTTGCAACAACTCGCAACTCAATGAGAGAGAGACAAATTTGCGAAGTTAAAACCTCTCTTTGATGTGCTAAACTCGAATTTTTTTAAGCATGCTCCTTTACAAGAGTGTCACAGTATTGACGAATCTATGGTCCCATATTACAGTGGGCATCCATGTAAATAGTTTATAAGAGGCAAACTCATTAGATGGGGCTATAAGTTCTGGGTTGGATCAACGCGTCTGGGCTACGTTTTATGGTGTCAACCGTATCAAGGACAACAAGGATGCACCGATACAAAATACAAAAGTCTCGGATTGGGTGCCAGTGTTGTATTGCAGTATGCTGATGAGCTTCGTAAGATAAATGCAGAAGCGCCATTCCATCTGTTCTTCGACAACTTTTTTACATCTATCCCACTTATAGATGAACTTCGGACGCGCGGTCTGAAAGCTACAGGCACCGTAAGAGAGAATAGAGTGTCAAAGTGCCCATTGCCCTTTAACAATGAACTCAAAAACACTAACCCTGAGACGTACAAATACAAATCTACAAGAGCTGAAGAAATTGTCGTCTGTAAGTGGAATGATAATAGTGTAGCTACCGTGGCTTCCAATGCTATAAAAGTATTACCCGTCAACAAAGTCAAAAGATTTTCTCAGCAACAAAAAAATATGTGCAAGTGGATCAACCTGCAGTTGTGAAGGCATATAACGAAAACATGGGAGGTGTTGATCGTTCTGATCAAAATATTAGCCTTTACAGGACAGTATTCGTGGTAAGAAATGGTATTTCCCACTTATCACTCATTGCCTTGATATGGCTACACATGATGCTTGGCAATTATACAAGGAAAATGGAGGAGTTTGGGATCATCTGAAATTTCGCAGAAATATGCGAGTCTCATTGAAAACAATAAGAAGATTGACGGTCACAAAGGTGGACGGCCATCACAATCTTTATCTGGGGTGTTGCAGTACAACCACCATGGTCATTTAGTAAGGTATAGAGAAGACCGTTTGAGATGCGTCTTCTGTCACAAAAGTGCAAACTTTTATTGTGTCAAATGGAATGCTACATTACACCCAAAAACATGCTTTGAAGCTTATCATATACCCTAGTTATTTTGTTTATAGTTATTTTGTTCAATTTTAAGTTTAATTGTTTTATTAAAATAATTATAATAAAGTTATATAATATAAATGAAATAGTGAGATATCATTATTATAAAATTTTGCCTTTGCAAAATAACTCCCTTTTCTAATGATTGGTAGTAGTAGATTCTCCTACTGTGTCATTTACGACACACCATTTTCCGGATTTCCCGGGATAGTGAGATTTTAAACATTTTTTTGAGATTACTTGTAGCCAAATTGCATATCACATGAAATTTTATTTCAATGCTAAGAAAAAAGTTTGCTCAGGGTTAGTAACAATTTTTTAAGTAATTATATTATCAAATATTTTTAATTTGTTTAATATTAGCTGCAAATTCACTTACTTGTGAAATATTATACCACTTCCCTTTTCGTAACGAGTTTTACAGATTACGCACACTCTCATTATTATTAAAAATAATTCTTATTACGTAACTAATATTACACACAATCAAACAACATAAAATACTTCCGTTTTTTGGTTTAAAAGTTCAAAATACAGATATTTTAAATAAGTAAATTTAAATAAGACAACAGACTTTGGCATATTATGTCAATTTTAGTTTCCAAGACGACCGTCAGGGGTGCTTCAAATCGACAAAGACATTTTCAAAAACAAAGACATTTTGTATGGTATGGACAGTCCAGCGTATTTGTATATATACAGGTCAGTGCATTACACCAAGCATTTATGTAAGTTCATCATTTGGAGTTTTCAATCATGTGTCAAAATAAAATGTAATTAAATATCGAAAGCACTAAGGAGTATTGATATCAACCCTTTGAACCCCTTTGGGCGATGAGTTACAATAAAATACAAAACAAGTCTATATTTTACTGATATTCCGATCTTAATCACTAAGTCACAGAATTCTTCTCCTGCCGTCGCTGAATCATAACTTAAATAACATATAAATGCGTGTACAAAGAATTTTACATTTCATAAAGTGCCTAGTAATATTTAAAAAAAAGTATGTTTAAATACCAATTGAAAAGAAGAATATTATTTTTGCGTTAACTCTAATTTAATACAGAAACTATATTTTTAATTTAATACCATTTTTATACAGTTTTAAATTTTTATTTATTTCTCAAAATTGTATAAACTTCCAATTTCTTATAAACATACATTTGATAACAAACATCTGACAAGTTACTGTAGCGTAGTAGTGTCATTTTGTAAAGCTGGTAAGAATTATCACAATTTCAATGTTCCTAGACAACTTTTAACTATTCGGATGCGTTGTATCTATTCATTTTCCAAGCAATGATGCTACGACAGTTTCGGGTAGTGAAAAAGGTGTCTGAATCTGAAAATTTACAACATATATTTTGTTATTAGATAATACAGATTTTTATTGGAAAAATTACACATAAAATTTCTTGGAAATGTAAAAAATGCCAAGGAATTTAGTTCAAGGAATTAAAATAATCCTTACATATGTTCAATGATAAGTGGAATGGATGTTATTTCTACTTCATTAACTATTTAAATTATTTAGTAAATTGTAACAATCTGGTAAATTTTTATCAATGATTATATATATTAGTTGATAAGTAAATACGTCAGCAGGCACATTCCTCCTTTAATTTTTGAGAGGAATTTTAGAAAGTCTGCACTGCGCTGCCTTTCTGCATGTTGATGGAATTTACATGTCTTCAAAATATTTTTTCCTTAGAACTTAGTTTTCTTACGTTTATTTCCTTCACGCCAAGCACGTGGTAAAATGTGATCCAAAATTTCAATAAAAAAATTATTGATGCAATTTGAATCGTGTATTTCATTTAGCTGTAACCAGAACGATTCTGCTGTCTCTTGGTTCTCTTTCCCTCTGTGGCCTTTTATGACACCGACTTGATAATATGGGGTACTGGATATTGTTACACCGCCACCATACGGTTTTTATTATAAGCTTAAATTAATAATTACTTTTATATAATTATAATATATAATAATCGTTAAATCATTTCAATCGGTTATTTAAAAATATAGTATAGTGTTTAGTTTACGACGTAAAATATTTTAATTCGATTTTTGAAATTAAATGAACCTATAGATTTGACCTGACGGTAACTTTCGTACTATTGTGACATTCAGTAAAATCTATAGTATTTCGTTCGTAATAATTTTCTGACATATACTTTTATATCTATTTTATATGTATATCCCGTCGTCGTTGTCATTATCATAACAGGCCGTCAAAGTTCACTACTGAACATTAGTAGGTGGAGGAACTTTGCCATGGTAGACACGTGTTTTTATCATGTTGTGTTGTTATCACGATGATGCTGCAGTCCATCTCTTGTGTCAGTTTTCCTCTATCGCCTCGTACGAATCCCTCATGATGATAAGGAGTAGTGGATTCTCTTACATTGCCACTACATTGGCGTATATAAAAATACAGTAATTCAATATTATTATTGTTTTATTAATAAATATTTTACTATTAAGTAAAAAATCATAAATTAATCAAAAATAACATAACTGTATCAGGGGTGGACTTTAGATCAGCGGTAGTGATGATGATTACATAAATTAAAATAGTAACAAAATATTAATATTTATTTTTGTGATGTACTTATTATTTTCTATAAATGTTTACTTCTACCGTAAGTAAAGTTTAAGATATTAATTATTTGTCATATATGGACATATTTTTTTATTTTTGTAATATTAATATAGCTATTTTTTCTGCAATTCATGCTGTTATCAGTACTGTAGAGTAATTTTTGGCTGATTTACTTACAAGAAGTGGCTTTGTTCGAATAGAATATCCATTAGTATCTGCAGTATAATATATGCTTTGTAAAACTCCATCAGAATCCGTGTAAGAATAAAAACCTTCCACGTCAACGTGCTCGTCGGGTTGTCCTGCATTAACAAGATGCCCACTTTCTTGTCTTGTTATGCCGTTAGATGTTACATAACTGTAGTATATGAAAAATAAAATATAAAGTAATCAGTAGTCTTCAACACCTTTTACTTAGTAATAAAGAACATTTTAATAATTGATAGTGTTGGTACACGTTACCTGAAGAAATAGTTCCCGCTACCATCGTTTGTATTTTGATATGCCACAGTTTCTGCTTGTGATTCTGGTGTAATTGATGCACCGTTAACATATATGAATAAAACAAAAATCGTCGCAACTCGAAACATTTTTATAATCACACAATCAAAAAATAAACTATATAAGTTTTATTTTACCTTAGTTTAGTTTTTGATTTAATCACCACAACAAATTAAATAAGACACAACTTTACTGTACGGAGTGTACGGTCGTCATCATTTTCGCATTTATGAGCCTTAGTTTTTATAAGGATATTACAAACATGTTATTATTTAATGAGAAGAACGAAAGAAGGTTAAATCGTGATATAACGTCAAAATTACGTGTATTACCGGTATGCCTACCTCTTAGAACTGATGTAGGCAAATGACGCGAATATTTACAACTTTATAACTTATGGCAAAATTCCTAAACTATACTAATTGTATTTCTGTAACTTGTATTATGTATTTCTCTGATTATTTTTTTTTCAATTGTAAGTTTACACATAAAAAACTAATGTTTAAATTTTTAAATTTGGCTATAATTTGAATTATATATTCGTATGTAGGTTTTATCTGAGGTTTTCCATATGTATATATCTTAATAAATATAAATTACGTGTCACGTTGTTTGTCTGCGATAGACTCCTAAACTACTTAATCGATTTTAATCAAATTTGCACACCGTACGCAGTTTGATCCAAGGATTTTTAATAGGACAATAATTGATTGAAGTAGGACATGACAAAGGGTCGTCGAAAAGGGCAGAATAACGTCTGCCTGGCAAGCTAGTGTGTAAATATATATATATATATATATATATATATATATATATATATATATATATATATATATATATATAATTTTTTTACTTAATAATAAAATATTTATCGTCAAAAGAACTATTATATTCAACTACTGTACTTTTATATACGCCAGTGTAGTGGCGATGTAAGAGAATCCACTATTCCTTATCATCATGAGGGATTCGTACGAGGCGATAGAGTAAAACTGACACTAGACATGGCGGCAGCATCATCGTGATAACAACACAACATAATAAAAAACACGTGTCTACCATGGCAAAGTTCCCCCCCACCTACAATGTTCAGTGGTGAACTTTGACGGCCTGTTATGATGATGACAAAGATGACGGGATATACATATAGAATAGATATAAAAGTATATGTCTGAAAATTATTGATGTAATAGTGTATTTAACACATATCTCACGAAATACTATAAATTTTACTGAACGTCACAATAGTACGAAAGTTACCTTTAAGTCAAATCTAAAGGTTCATTTAATTTCAAAAATTTGAATTATATTATTTTACGTCGTAAAGTAAACACAATACTATATTTTTAAATATCAGATTGAAATGTATTACCGAATATTATATATTATAATTATTTAAAAGTGATTATTAATTTTAGCTTATAAAAAAACCGTATTGTGACGGTGTAACAATATCCAGTACCCCATAGCATCATATGAGTGTCATAAAAGGCAACAGAGGAAAAGAGAATCAAGAGACAGCAGCATCAAAAAGCGTTGACAATATCTCCATCGAATAAAAAAATCTAAATGTCTGATGTTACCAAAGTGTCTCACCAAGCTTCAAAACTTTAACATAGTGTTATCGTCTACGAAAAGGGAGCTGAAATGATACAGTCAACGTATTATGGGTTTGTTGTTTGGTACTTGCATGGTAATTGCTTAGATCGTGTATGATTCAAAATAAAAGCAAGCTTTAAAATTTTTAATTAAAATTAGAAATGTTACCAACAGAGAATCTGAGAAAAAAATACCTACTTTTCAGAAAGGAGAAAAAGAAAGAATTGTGTTTATTGCGTAAAGAAATAGAGGGTAGAAAAGTTGATAAGAAATTGAAAATATTAGGACCCTATTGTGTCGAATGTGATATGACATTATGTTTGAACGATGTGAGAGTAATTAAATCTCATTAGAATATTCGTGAAGTATGTAATAATATGAAACGATAATGTGTACTAATACTGTATTTGTTATTATGATTTAATTTTAACTACCTAATCAATCCCAGGGCCAAATGGCCATAAGGATACTATCGACGAGCGTATATGCGTAGATATACGAATGTAAAGGAGGCCAAATGGAAGTCCGTAGTCTCTGCCTACACCTCTGGGCGAGAGGCGTGAGTGTTTATTTATATTTAATCAATCCCATTGTGTCTTGTACCTTCACCTGATACAAAAGAAAAAATAAAGATACTATCTATATTTTTTTAGTTCCAATCACATCATTTGCTATTCGTGGATATCTTTAATGTTGATAGTTCTGCTGGTGCTGTATCAGTTCAAATTCACTGTGATTTTTAAAGCCTTATATTTTCTAAAATACTTATTAAATGTTGGTACTATGTCAAAACCTTATAATTTTACTCCTTAGCTTACCTATAATAATACTAAAATAGTCAAACTTAGGTTTATTATAGAAATATAGTCATAAGAATGAAATACCTACTACGAATTTTTTTTGTCTAGAAATGCACTAGATTTTAGGCATTTTACAAGTCATATTTTCCTTGAATCGCACTGACCAGTTTAGAAAAATAAATAATCGCAGTCAACGTGTTAAATTCCTTGGCATTTCCTAGAAATTTTATGTGTAATTTTCTAATATAAAGATTAAGGATGCACAAAAAAATCTGAATTATCTGATAACATGATATATGTTGTATATTTTCAGATTCAGACACCTTTTTAACTACCGGTAAATGCCGCCGAAACATTACTTGGAAAATAAATTGATACAACACATCTGAAAAGTTAAAAAGTGTGTGTTGTTGTTGTTTAAATCTTAATAATAATTTCTGTTGTAGATTGAGAATTTTTTTCAACATTTTTTCCGTTATCTTTATCATCAACATCGATGGGGGCTCTATTAATTCCTACAAGCTCCTAGGCAGCCTACTAAGACTACACTTAATGCCTGCTTATCGGCAACCGCATTTTCTAGAACAACCACTTCTACATCAGCAAAAAAATTGAATTTAACTACGCGTCAGTTAGGAGCAGGAGGATCCAAGGTCGTGATTGGTTCCGAGTTTCCATCGACTCTTTACAGAACAGAACATAAAAACACGAATAGCTGCAAGTGTTGCTGACATCACAATTGTTCGCACTGCAATTGATAAAAATTAAGACAAACTTGTGGTCACTGTTATTGGAGATATATGTTGATCTTGTAGTCCTTTTAATGGCTATTACTCCTCTAGAAAAAGAAATATTTTTTATCAAACCAGGAAAAGGGAAATTGGAAACCAAAATATTTTCCTCACGAGACATAATTTATAGAAAGTTTAATATAGATAATTAATGTAGAAATCACTAAAGAGATATTATAAATAGTTTTCAAGTCATAAGCAAATAAAGCTTGAAAAAGAGACCTTTCCCCCCTCCCCCACGGTCAGCTTGTCCCTCTCTCGGGGACTTTTAGTATATTCATCTGAACACCTTAAGGAATAACTGTACCAACTTTCAAAACTACATGAATTATTTGGTCTGATTTTTTTAATTTTCGCAGGCTATACCATACCATGTTACACAAATTTTGTAATAGTATAATTTGAATTTAAGCTTGCTTTCGTCTCTTAGTAACAGACTAATTATGCACTTGCACTAATTGATAGATCTCAGCGGTCTTATAAATAAATTGTTTCTACAAATGCTAAGTGCATCTTGAGGAAGCAAGTAAAATTGTAGTTATTTGTTTTAGTGACTCCATTACTATGAATGGAAATACGTTTCAATATTTTTGGTTTGTCCAAGAGTTTGTGAATTCCACATTCATAGTTTTAGGACCTTTTTTAATGTAAAATACTTATATAATAATAATATGAGGAATTATTTGTATCCGCATTACGGGACTCCGACAGATAGTTCCGCATATTATAAACTTTATAGATCATTGATAGCAGCATGTTTCTCAGAACATTCTACAGGGGACTTGATACTTGACAGGCGCTTTTTCAATAATTTTGTCATGGTCATGTTAAAACAATTCAAATTACTTCCGAAATATTTAATCATTAGCAATTAAAGCCGACTCTAATTGTAGTGAACTTTTAATTTCAAAATAAACTGTACCAGCGAAATAAGACTTAACGATTGCTTTACCTGTGCAACTCTAGATGAAATTTATAAAATGTTTTAATGAAATAGTATACCTGACGAAAAGATGTATCGTTATCTCCTAAACGCTATCCAGCCGAGTTGCATCCGTAGATTTTTTAACGCATAATTGTGTAACTTAGACCTCATTAAATTTTGAGCAAAATCGGTCAAGTCGTTTTTTGGGCCGAATGAAAAATTATATAAAATATTAAAACATATGATATTTTTTTATTCTTTCCGTTGGGAAGTCAGTCGTGTGGATCTTTTGGGTCGCACCTAAACCGCTTTTTATCTAACTTTTGACTTTATTATATAACTGTTTGATAATAACACATCCACTGTAAGATAATTCATCATCCTATTTCTTATTGTGGGTGCCGTAATGGGCAACTATAAGGTGCGTCAGACCAGAAATATCTTATGGTTTTCAACAGAAAGCGCTAAAATACTGAGTGGCCAGGGTTCTTTGTAGTGAAAAATAATTATTCATACCCGTTTTATTACATCTGAAGCTGAGCAATAAAAGATTTAAGTATGGTTATGACCATATTATGTCATATATTGTACCTAATACGGTTGAAGTTGCCTTCAATTTCTTGCGAATTTTAACATCATTTCTAGTATCAGCCTAGGTACAGTACTTTAGAAAGCCAAGATTCTGTGTTAGACATCTAGGTGATAAGTTTCCCATTCGAAAAAAAAAACAATTTCGAAATCATTTGTTCATTATACTACATCCCCAATAGTATTTGTGCGACTATGTACGTAATGAATTATAATTGCACATAAAAAAACTTAAGAGAAAAATTAGTGGCACAGTGGCTTAACAACCAGATGCAGGACTAAGAGCTGCGGATTCGGATTCCGCACAGAACAAGTATTTGTATGGCCTCCAATAATTGTTCCGAGTCGGATGTTTGTCTTTGTGAAATAATATGTAGGTATGTTAA